GAGCCTTTGAAGATGATTGCTGTCTACACTTTTTCTAAAATTTCACATAGTAGCCAGACGCTGTGTCTGTAATTCTAGCTCATGTCTGTAATTCTAGCTACATAGGAGGCTGAGATCCAGAGGACTGAGGTTTAAGGTTAGTCCAGGCAGAAAAGTCCACAAGAGTCGACCTCCAAAATAACCAGAAGGAAGCTGGGCTGGAGGTATGACTAAAATGATAGTGTGCCAATCAAGGAAGCAAGCCTTGAAGCAAGCTTGAGGTCCTGGGTTCAAAGCCTGGTACTTTGAAAAAAGAATTGCATCTTTCTTTTGGAAGTACTGAGGATTGAACACCAGAGGACTTGGGCTAACCACACTGCCACTTATATGATATTTTTTTTTTAATTTCAACTTGTTCTGTTGCAATCTGGTATACTCTTGCAGTCTGGAAACTTCTGTTCTTTATTTATTGAACATTTTCTTATTCGTATCATTATTCTCCTCCCCTGGTCTTTTCTGTAACTTCTTTTATTTGGATGATTGACCTTAGAAACTAATTTCAAGTTTCATTTTTCTCATTTTCCACCTCATTTAATTCTGCTCTGTTTTCCAGGACATTGTTTCCACTTGGTCTTCCAAACCTTCTATTAGAGTTTAAAAGTATCTTACCACTTTAATTTCCTTTTCCTCTGAGTGGTTTTTTTATTTTTTTTAAAAAACAGCATCTTGTTTACAGCATAATAGATGTGAAATCTTTTCTAAGGTAGTCTGATATTAATTATACTATTTTAGACAGTTTCTAACTCCCTGCATTTTTTTTCCTTCCAAGTCTTGGTCTGATTGTCTTTTCTGCTAGAAGTTGAATAGCAAGGATGACAGTAATGAGCTTGGCAGAACCTGGGTTTTGAATTTGATCCTCAGCATGACAAAAATACAAAATAAAAATAAAGGAAGAAAGAGTAAAGTCTTTCGATGCTAACCAGAGCTGTATATACACTGTTGTCATTGATCTTGACAGCGTTATTCTTCTGTTTGTTTTTAATTGAATAACTTTTAAATTTACTTTATGGGGGGGGCGCGGAGAAATCATTAATCTCCTCTTTTAAAAATATACATTGCCAGGCCAGTTATCTCTGAGACAAGAAAGGACTGTGAACTCTCTGTGTGGATAGGAAAATTTTCACAAGGATAATCCACTTATAGAATGTAATGTAACCTCTGACCTCAGCTGTGATTGGTGTGGCTGACTCCAGAGCTCCAGCCATTGGCAGTGTTAGGAAGGGCAGTAATATGGGATCAGTGCTGAGGAGGGGGTCAGGTTGCTGCTTATGAAAACATTCATCCTGTTGATTACATCCCTGCCTTGGCTAGGCACAGTGACTCACATCTGTATTCCCATCTACTTGAGAGATGGAGATTGGGAAGGATCATGGTTCAATCCAGCTAGAAAAAAAGTAAGACTCCATCTCAATCAGTAAGTCAGGTGTAGAATTGTACTCCTGTCATCCCAGCTACATGGGAATATAAATCGGAGAATCTCAGTCTGAGGCTGTCCCATGTAGAGTTCACCCACTCAAACATACCTGAAAAAAAAAATACTAAAATTAAAAAAAGATCTTGGATGGGTGACCTAATTGGTAGAACGCTTATTGTAAACACAAGGCCCTACAGAGTTCAAACCTTAGTACTACAAAAAAACAAACAACAATTCCTAGGGGCAAGGAAGGTGGCTCAGTGGTAGAGTGCTTACCTCGCATGCTTGCGGCCCTGAGTTCGATACCTCAGCACCACATAAGCAGAAAAAGGCAGAAGTGTGCACTGTGGCTCAAGCGGTAGAGCGCTAGCCTTGAGTTGAAGAGCTGAGGGACAGCGCCCAGGCCCAGAGTTCAAGCTCCATCATTGATAAAAAAAAAAAAAAAAAAATCCCTACCTTCAACTCTACCCACTGTACTCTTCCCTTGGATCAGGAAGTAGGAATTGCCAACTTCTTGTGTCTATTTTGAGGATAGTGGTCCTGCAAAATGTATTAACTTGCTCTAGGTGTCTCTCCTTGCTAGATCACAGAGCAAATTTATTCTGCCATGTCAGATCTTACCTATGCAAAAATTGTGCGACTGCTTGTCTTACTTTGTTGGCATCCCTTACCAAATTCATGTCTGAACTTAATTCCCAATGTGCTAGTATTAGGAATGGGGGGTGGAGGGGGAGCCTTTGAGAAGGGATTACATAAATCATCAGGGTTCCAATCCCATAAATGGATTAGTGCCCAGATAAAAGAGGCTGTGGGAGAGGTGTTTACTTGCCTCTTCTGTCATGGGTGAAGCCCAAAGTGGCCCTTACCACACACTGAGTCTGCTAGTGCCTTGATCTGGGACTTCTCAGCCTTCAGAAGTATGAGGAATGAATTGCTGTTATCTATAATGTAAGATTAGAAAACCAACAACAATAGACTAAGACATATCTTTCTTTTCTTTTTTGCATGTAAACATTCTCCTTTTTAAAGGCAGTATCAGGGAATGAATGTGTTCTATTTGCTATATTTAACTGGAAGCTTCTTTCCCCTAAACAGCCCAGCCAGTCTAGGCTCTCCTTTTCCAATTTCTCAAATACACTCTCTAACAGTTTTGTGCATAAGGGTCTTGTTTCTAGAACTTGAAGTGTAGGCTAAATGCTAAGTTAACTAGATAAACTTTTAGATGTTTAGGAAGGCAGGATTTTTTAAAAATCCACCTTCATAAGTAAACAAAATTTAAACATAATTTGAGATTACAATTGCCACTAACTTGCCAGGTGTCATGATGTATGCTCGTAATACCAGCACTTGGAAGGTTGAGACAGAAGATCATAAGTTTGAGGCCAGCCTGAACTACATAATGAAACTTAACCTTTAAGAAAAAACAAACAGGGGCTGGGAAGGTGGCTCAGTGGTAGAGCGCTTGCCTTGCATGCCTGAGGCCCTGGGTTCGATTCCCCAGCACCACATAAGCAAAAAAGAAAAAAAAAGCCGGAAGTGGCACTGTGGCTCAATTGGTAGAGCACTAGCCTTGAGCTGAAGAGCTGAGGGACAGCGCCCAGGCCCAGAGTTCAGTCCCCATGACCAGAACCCCCCCCCCCAAAAAAAGAAAAAACAAACATAATATTGGTGTAGCTGTTTACATAGGCTGTGATAATAAACGTATTATCAAGAGAAGTAATTTACAAATGCTTGAGGCTTAGGATCACATTTTCGGTATTAGAAGAATATCTTTATATAAAGCAGATAACCAATCTATTTATAATTTAATATAAATTGAATGCTCTGTGTGTGTGTATGTGTGTGTGTGTGTGTGTGTGTGTGTGTGTTTTATAAGTACCAGGGCTTGAACTCTGGGCCTGGATATTGTCCCTGAGCTCCTTTTGCTCAAGGCTAGCACTGTACCACTTGAGCCACAACACCATCTCCAGCTTTTTCTCTGATTAATTAGAGATAAGAGTCTCACAGACTCTCCTGCCTGGTTGGCTTTGAACTGTTATCCTCAGATCTCAGCCTCCTGAATAGCTAGGAAGATTACAGGAGTGAGCCACCACGGCTTGCGTGAATGCCAGTTTATATATATGGCCTTGCAGAGCAGGGAACATGTCCTTCCTAATTGGGGGATTACTTTCCATTTCTATTGCTACATAACAAACCATGCTTAAAACTTGTTGTTAGGGGAAGATCTCTTGCTACTCTCACCTGGGCTTTCTTACAATTCATGCAATTGCATTCAGCTGTAGGGACAGCGTGGCACTGAAAGCTGAAGTAGTCTTTTCTTTCCAAATCATGCTGGCCTCAAGATTGCAAGGTCAGTTGCTCTCTTGCAACCCATTTCCTGGTGTTCCATTGGCCAAATCAGTAGGATTCACTGTAGGTCATTACGGTTAGATTTCCTGTGTACAGGTAATCTAGATATCCTGGCACTGAAAGCTGAAGTAGTCTTTTCTTTCCAAATCATGCTGGCCTCAAGATTGCAAGGTCAGTTGCTCTCTTGCAACCCATTTCCTGGTGTTCCATTGGCCAAATCAGTAGGATTCACTGTAGGTCATTACGGTTAGATTTCCTGTGTACAGGTAATCTAGATATCCTTGTGAATCACTATAATTCTCCCAGTTCACATAGGGTATACAAAAACTATGCCTTGGAGGTGAGCACCAGTGGCTCACCCCTGTAATCCTAGCTACTCAGGAGGCTGAGATCTGAGGAGTACCTTGAGCAAAAAAGCAAAAGGATAGCATCTAGGACCTGAGTTCAAGCTCCAGAAACTCCTTCTCCTATCAAAGTAATTCCATATTCCCTTTGCTTTGGAAAATAGTTGTAAAGAGTTCTGAGAATAGAGAGATCTTTTTAAATATGTTTTTTATTGTAAAAATACTGTACAGAGGGCTTACCGTTACATGAGTAAGGTAATGAGTACATTTCCTATAGAGCATTGTTACCTCCTCCTTTGTTTTTCCCCTCCCATCCCTTCCCTCCCCAATTCCTCCCCCCCCCCCATTTGTATTATCTATACAGTTTAAGATCTCTCTATGGTCAAAAGCTATGTACATATGACCATAGAGAGATCTTAAACTGTATAGATAACACAAATATTCCAAAAGGAAGTGTGTTCACTGCTGAAGCTCTTTCCAACTATTCTTAATTTTTTTTTTAAATGATAGCACCAGGGAGCCAGTGGAACAGGGTCTGTGCTGACAAGGCAGAGTATGTTTTGAGACACACATTTGAATTTTGTTTGCAGAATATTTTATTCCTTTCCTGAATTCTAAGTAGGTAGCCAGACCCCTAGTATTTTCTGCCTGAGGGATTTTTTGCAGGACCAAAAAGCAGAAGCTGCTTGAAGTCAGTGCTGCTTTTTTTTTTCCTATAACATGCCGGCTTTCTCAAAGAGATGATGCTACGGAGGTCCAGGGTGAGGGAAGAGGATGGTGGGGGAGGTGGGTACTCCAAGGCTGGGAAAGAACCAGAAGACTGCAGTTAATGAATGAATACCAAGGACAGGGACAGCTCTTGTGGCACTGCCCCAGGGAACCTGTAGGCCTGTGCTGACATCTTAGGACATTGGATCTCTGGGTGTGAGAGTTTCTAGCCTCATCAAAGACGCTCATGTCTTTGTGGTAGACAATGTGGATAGAGAGCTAGGGGACAGGGGGCATTTGTAAAACTTTGGTGGTACATGGATTATCCAAGAACTTGGCCCATCCATGAGATAGTCAGGGCAAGGAAACCCCAATAATTACCAAGTCTGAATCACAGCTTGGTAGTGGCGCTCAGAGTTTAAAGAAAGCATTGTGACACTTCTTTTTCTCTAGCCAAGTTTGCATGAAGGTATCCAATAGAATGGCTCTGTAGATCCACAAAGAGGCGTAAGCCAAAGAAGGGAGAGTTTCCTGCACTCTTAATCTCTAGACCAAGGGATCATTAATGGATTAAGCCTCAGTTGCTGGCCAGGCATGGTGGTATACACTTGTAATACTCCCAGCTACAACTCTTATTGTAACAAAGCCCTATCTGACCAGTCCTAAGCCAATGAACAAGTGATGTCCACCTTTGGCCTCCAGAACACACCCATAACGGACACCGTTTCATGAATATGCATAATTCTCTCCCCTTGACCACATTACATCTATTTAAACCTAAAGCAAATGTCTATAGAAGGAAAGATGGGTTAATACATACACCTTTCCTCTTCCCAGAGATGCTGGTGCTAGGTTAATGAAATCCCCTCCGCTGATGTTCGCCATTGTCTTCGTTTGGTATACTGACATGGGTGGCCAGACATGACCTTCGGAAGCCAGAAGTTTTGGACTAGGGCCTAAAACTCCTTTAATAAACTTACCTATGATCCCATAGCTCATGACAGCTAGATTTAAACCAGTGCCATATGTTTATATTGTTCTTGATTTGTTTACATTATCATACATGAAATAAGCAATGTGTACCTGGAGTTACTGTAGGTATATTCTCCATACATAACGATGCATTCCACCGAATATTTATTGACAGTCTATTTGTCTTTGCCAGGTACGAATCTAGAGGTCAGAAGAGAAGATGGCACCATGGCAGACCAGGTCTTTGCTCTCTGTGGGGGATACAGGACACAGATCAGGATAAAATGAGTGCTGTGAAGCAAAGCAAATAAAGTGTAGTGAGTGAGCGAGAGCCACAGGGTGGCGTTCATTGTCACTTTGAGGAGATGACATGTGAACTGAGATTTGGATGGAGACCGAGGACCCCTCATAGCCGTCTCTGTGGGGAGCTCCTCCCAGCTTGAACAGCAGCTTCCAGGTTGGGGTGGTTGGGGTGATCAAGAGACAGAAAGGTCCATGGAGCAGGATCGGATGAGCAGCAGAAGTGAGGTTCTAAGGGTAGGTGGAGTTCCTGGGTGACACGGGTGTTGAAGAGGATGCTGGGTGCTGGCAGGATTCCTATAGCAGGTGGTGGGCAGAGGTTTGCACACATTCAGTCCAAGAAGTCTGGGAAGAAGGGACTGCCATCAGCACATCACAAAGACCAATTGTGAAATCTGAACCTGCCGTGTCATTCGTTTCTCTCAGTGTTGCAAGGGGGACTGCAGAAAAACACGGGAGGCAGCAACACTGTTCGACAAGAAATGTACTCACTACCTTACTTATGTGACTGTAACTCCTCTGTACATCACCTTGACAATAACATAAAATAAAAAATTTTAAAAAATGAATTTGGCTAGAATCTGAGGATCATGGTTTGGAAGCCAGCATGGGCAGAAAAGTCCATGAGACTTTTACCTCTCATTAACCAGCAAAAATCCAGAAGTGGAGCTGTGGCTCAAGTGGTAGAGTGCTAGCTTTGAGCACAAAAAGTTCAGGGACAGTGCCAAGACACTAACTTCAAGCCCCAGTACTGTACACACAAACACTGGGGGGAAAAAAGCAGACAAATTTACACACACAATGCCCAGAACCATGGGTGCATATGACTGACTTCATTGTGACATTACGACTTTCCTTCTCTTTAGTTTAGCTTCATTGATGGTCTCCCAAGCATATGCACTCTTGTTTAACACCAGAATGTCTGCTAGGCATCCTTCACTTGTCTATTCTGCCTCATCAGTTAACACATCTAATCAAAATATTTTCTTTCAGCTAACAATATTCACTTCACTGAGAATCGGAGTTTTTGTGCTACATGTAAGAACAGAGTCTTTCATCCATTTTCTGAGCCTATATTTAGGGATGAAGCTACTGGGTTGGGAATATGTCTGTCGTGGTCCACAGGCAGAGCTGGTAGTGTGGAGCCTGAGCCACAATGTGTCCCCTGAAATCACCCTCATCAAGATGGTTTCCTACAGAACCTTCTGCTCAATCCTGTCTTCCGACTTGCGGTCTCCTCCCCATCAACTCTCAGCTCTCATGTGGCTACCTCAGACTCCCCAACTCTTTAGTCTAGGACCCCTCTGCTCCCCCAACATCTCCTGCATTCAGTTCTTCATAGCACTTGTATTAGACTGAGCTTGTAAAAAAAGACTGCCATGATTGGGTGGCTGCAGACAACAGAGGTTTAGCCCCACACCATTCTGGATGCCAAAAGTCCATGAGGAATTTATCTAGGCTACCATCAAGGGTTTCATCTCCTGCAGCTTCTAGCTTCTAGTGGCTGTGGACTGTCCTTGGCTTGTGGCTGTATTACTCCAATCTCTGTATCTGTGGCACAGTGCCTGCCTTCTTTTCTGTGAGAGGATGTTTCAAATTATTCACCACCTACCTTGTCCAGAATAACCCTAGATAATCTCCTATCTCGGGCTAGTGCTCTACCACTTAAACCACAGCACCATGTCTGGATTTTTTGAATAGTTCATTGGAGATAAGGGTCTCACAGACTTTCTTGCCCAGACTGGCTTCTAACTGTGATCTCAGATCTCAGCCTCCTGAGTAGCTAGGATTATAGGTGAACCACCAGTGCCGAGTGGGCCTTTCATTTTGCTTATCCTTAAAATGTGAAGAAATGTCTTTATCATCTTCGTCTGCTAGAATTCTGGGGAAGTGAACCGAAAGTCTTTTTGTTTCCAGATGGAATTTGATACACATAAGGAATATTTTTGTCACCTATGCATGAGACTTTTCTATTTGCTTGTTTCCCAGGAGTTACAGAAGTATACTTGTTTATAAGCCTTTTTAAAAAAATTTGTAAGACTTGTTATGCAACTGTATATGCTGCTATTTGTATCTTTTACTCCAATAAATTATATCAATTGGTTGCTGAGATAACAATGGGATTGAGCCACTTGGTCCTACCTGAGTACTGCATAATTGATTTTTAATTGGCACATGCACAGAAGGAGAAAAAAAAGTCCACAACATTTGAGTAGAATACTTAATGTATTAGACATCTAAGTTAGAAGGTGAAGATAATCATTTTTTTTCTATTTACTTTTGTTTTCCAAGATGGGTCTTGCGATATTGTCCAACTCCTAGGCTTAAATGATCTTCTTGCCCCAGCCTCTTAAGCATCTGGGTGTAAAGGCTCATGCCACCATGTCCAGCTTCTACTTGTTATTTTACATATGGCCATACCTTGTCATTCCCATTGCAAAGGCTCATACTGTCAGGGCTTTCACATAGGTCTCCTTATGAAGAGCTTAGCTGCTAGTCTATAGTGAGAGAAATCCCCAAGGAAAGTGGAAGTGAGCTCCCTCCCTTCCTCTACTGATAGACACTTTGACCAGATTTTGTGGAACAGTATCTGTGCAGGCCATCTCCCTTGGTCATCTTTCTGATGCTGTGATCAAATACCTGAGCTAGACAGCCTAAAGGAAGAAAGACTCTTGTCTCTGGGTGGCTTCATCACTTTTAGGCCTGTGCAAGGTAGTAGATCATAGTAATGGGAACACAGGGCAGAGAAAGCTGCTTGCTTCATGACAACCAGAAAACAGAGGAGGAAGATCCAGTATTCTCTTCAAAAGAATGCCCCTAATTACCTTTTTCCTGCTAGATCTCTCCTCCTAGAAATTCTACCACTTTCCGAAGGACCAGGGTTTTGGCAGAACATTACTAGCTGAACTATAATTCCTTTCCTTTTGATAATGTTTGCAAAACTTGAGAGATATACAACTTTAGTTTACTTGCAAAACACAAAAAAAGGAGCCATCTACTAGAATATCACTCCATAAGTAGGACTGTGTAACAGAGGATATGACATCTAGGCATATATTCTGACATTTGCATAGGTCCAAGGGCCAAGATGGGCAAAACATTCCCAGATCGATTGCAAATCTTATAAGAGAGAGGTAGTATATAGAGAACTAGTATATAGAACCAAGTACTAGGATTCAGGAAACCTACGTAGGTTTTGTTAATAACTGTACCTCCAGAGCCAATCTGTCCATTCATTTTGTTCATACATTTGTACCGAGAGATTGTGTACTAGACATGATGCTAGATTTGATATAAAAATGTTGTATCTTGGGGCTGGGAAGGTGGCTCAATGGTAGAGCACTTGCCTTGCATGCAAGAGGCCCTGGGTTCGATTCCTCAGCACCACATAAGCAAAAAGAAAAAAGCTGGAAGTGGCACTGTGGCCCAAGTGGTAGAACACTAGCCTTGAGTTGAAGAGCTGAGGGACAGCGCCCAGGCCCAGAGTTCAGACCCCACGACCGGACCCCCCCCCAAAAAAAAAAAAGTGTTGTATCTCTTCCCAAAGAATTTCAGGTCTAGTGAGAAACACAGTCTTAAAAGCATTGTGATATATGTTTGTGTTGCAAGATGACATCATCCATCTTGCCTTTCTGGTCAAAGCCTTGTTGGTGAGAGAAGAGCTTTAGTGTATTGAGTAGACTGCAGGCCCCAGCTCATAGATGGTCAGACTTTAAAGTAGCTCTTTGGATTCTTACCTTTATCTTTCAAGTATCCTTGTAAAGGCAACTGAGTCTTGATTTTACCCAGTGGAAAATGGGAAGAGCATTTCAATGTGTATGATCACATTTATATGAGTATGTAAGAAGGTACCATCCATCTTGCTGGAGTCTCTCTCTCGATGGCT